ATCAAGTCTTTAGGTCACAGAGTCCGTGGTGTGCCTTTAAAGTAAATAAAATCGTAGGATACAGACAGCTCCAATATACTTACTGCCCCCATATTATAAAGGTATTACATAGTCCTGTTGAAAAGTCTGTTGATTGTTTTGTTTTTTTTTACCTTATTGTTTTGTGTTTAATTTATCCCTAAGCCTTCAGTTCCTCTGAATGTGCAAGCAATGTACAAAAAATAACCAGTGAATTGATTATTTTACCAGTACTATCAGCGTTTCGTGTGCATGCTCTTATCTAATCCCCTTGCCTTTTTTTCTTAGGATCTTTCATGGATATATGAGTTTAAATACTTAGTTTCTTATGTATTTTTAATTGACTGTTGAGATGTATTACGGTTGTTAATAAACCGTATGAACATAATCTTTCACTGGATAAAAATCCTGAAAATGTAATCCAGTCTGCAAGTAAAGTCTTTCACTTGTCAACTTGACCAGATCCTCTTTGCTTTGCATCAACTGACTTCCTGCCTAAACAATCCATTCTTCTCTAGATTGACATGGAGTTGGAGGGACAACCTGCAAAAATAGAGAAGCATTTTTTTAGAGAAGAAGCCAGTGGCAGGCATGTCCAGGATGCTTCAGAAACGTACAACCATTGGAACAACCCCGACTGACCAGAATTACCGCGATCAGCTGTCAGACCCTGCCGGAGCTGCACTGCAGCCCAAACATGCCATTTTCTCTTCTATTAGAACTGAGGGGTACTACTTCTAAAAAAGTTTCAAAATATTTTTCAAATGTTTATGCAACATATTTATATTTTAACTGAAATATTTTAAATATTTCAGTCCAAAAATGATATTTTGATGTCCATACAACTTGATTAAGCAAGACTGAAGAAAACAAAACAGATACAATAATAATTATAGCTACTTGAAGGTACCCGAATAAATCAGTTTTAAAGCTGTTGTTTGAAATAATATTTCTGATTTACTGGTCGGTTGCATAAAATTAACATAAAACGTGTAAATGCACTGTAGTTGAAAAAACTGAAATGCAAACACTATTTTACATTTCTTTGGAATAAAGTGATCAAATGCTTTATCATTCTTATCCTCTCAAAGAAAGCTTGGCAAGAATAAAGCAGACAGGATGACAGCTGAACAGATGAGGCACCTAGAGTATGTCTAATCTCCTTCTGAAAGCGCCTCACAGAAATGGCTGGGAGCTCCGAGGGGCAGACAAGGAAAAATTGGGGCATTCTGTACAGTAAAGCCATTACAGACGTCTTTAGTTTTCTTTATGATGTGATCTTGACAGCTGTGAGGATTGAGGAACATACCAACGTGCAGAGTCTTAGCAGCTGGGACAAGACTTGATATTCTCTTCCTTTGGTTTGTTTTCTAGACTTCATCATTTAATGAAAAATATAATTTTTCTTCTGTAATGGGTTTTTTGTTTTTCAGCATCTTATTGTCATTACAATGTTACAAGTACAGATCAACGAAACTCACCCTCTGCATTTAAGCCATCCCCTCGGGATTCCAAGCTTTATCCCCTAAGTACTAAGCTGCCACCTCCCCATCTCTTGTGGAGGTAAGAGATGTTTATGAACAAACACAGAAAGAGGAATCTGAACCAGATCCTTCCCCTTCCCCTTCCAAATATTGTTAGTCTAAGAATCATTCTTACAAAAAAAGCTTTTAGTCAGAACCATTTAAATACACAGGAAAGCTATAAAATATTACAGAAATGCATTTAAACAATCTTAGTGTCATGGTCTTCTTCCTACTGTGCTTTACTTTGCTCTATGTTTCCTAGTTTTATTGGTTTAATTTCTTTTTTGTTGCAATTTCTAGATTTATGTTAGTTCTCATGTTTCTCTGTTGCCCTCATATGTGTGTGTTCCTTTCTCCTTGGCTCCCTCGTTGTCTCCCCTCACACCTGCTCCTTGTCAGCTCGTTAGCCCTCCCTTTGTCTCTGTCAACTATATATGCTCTCCCTCTGCTCTCACTCTTTGT